TCTCATAGTTGAGGTATACCTATGATGAAAATTACAGGCCTCTCTCATCTTTTTGTGCCAGCTTCTTTCACTGCAGTGCTGTTCCCACGACAGTCACAGTCTGGCCAGACAACACAGAAAAAAAATAATGTTGGGGTGCAAAAAAGCCAGCAAAAAGTAAAAATCAATAATGGTAAAATCAATACTGTAATTATATTCCCTCCATTACAGCTGCATCCACAAACACATTTCATACAAGGAAAGCTCACCTGACTGCTGCACAACTATTAAAGTCACCTTATTAAAGTCACATGGAAAACAACCACAAAGATTTTAATATGAACAAGTTCAGTTAGCCTATATGACATTATTCCCAGACAGCACAGCAGCACATTGGCCTTTCCATTTAAAAATGAGAATTGAAGAATAATTAATTTAAAACGGTCACAAAGCAGTATCCCTGCGCACAGTGGAATCTTACTGGTTAAAAATTCTCAAAGAGAATGGTTAAGAGAGAATAAAATTGTTGAATAAAGTCATTATTTTTGTTTTCTTTGCACACAGAGTATTCTCGTAGCTTCATAAAATCGAACCACTGATGTCACATGGACTATTTTAATGATGTCCTTACTAGCTTTCTGGGCCTTGAACATGGTAGTTGCATTGCTGTTTATGCAGGGTCAGAAAGCTCTCAGATTTCATCGAAAATATCTTAATTTGTGTTCCGAAGATGAACGAAGTTCTTACGGATTTGTAACGAAATGAGGGTAATTAATGACAGAATTTTGGGATGAACTACAACTAACGGACCCACTTTATATTAAGTGGCCTTAACAACTATGTACTTGCATTTAAATTAATAATTTGGTACAATGCACTTATTGTGCACATGTTTTTACATTGTACTTATATTTTAAAAATACCTGCATCTAATTACATCTGTAATTAATCTCTGTAATTACATTTATAATTACACTGTTGACCCATCCCTTACACCATAACCCACCCTTAAACCTACCCATACCAACAAACCTGTCCCTAACCTTACCCGTATCCCACCTCAATAGCAGCAAAAGTGTTTTGCAATACAATATAAACACAATAAGTACATTGTACTTAGTTTTTGATGCAAGTACATGGTAGTTAAGGCCACTTAATATAAAGTGGGGCCCAACTAACAAACTGAACCTTATTGTAAAGTGCTTTATTGACTCACACATAGGCATGGGCCAATTACTGGTTTCAAGGTATCCCACGATTTAGAAATTTTCACGGTTTCAAAACGCTAATATTTTCCGTTATACCTTTCTTGCGGTATGCGCTGTTTTTCATGTCTCCTCAAAGACTGAAAGTGTAGGAACCCCTCAGGTTGATGCGAGCAAGCGGTCAGTCACGTGTATGATGGCCGAACTTAAGGAGCTTTCCTTGGAACTTACGCGATTTGGCAACCGGCTGTTTTTTGTCTTCTTGCAAGCAACTCGTCTCTGTTCTGGACTTGCACAAACTGCGTTGCAATGCAATCGTTATCCAAAATGTCATTTATGTGAAAATATGAAGTCTGTAAATGCCCGTTAATACAGGCCAGAAACGCTGAAGATGGACGCACAGAGAAAAATACTGTAGCAGGCAGATCACTCACTGTTCGTGAAGAACAAACTATTGGAAGAAAATCCTCAATATTGATTTGGGGGTTTATATGAATGTGTTTCTGAGGGGAACTGACTGTCTTCAGAAAAGTTTATGTGGTATTTTCTTTTAATCTCGTCTAAGTCTGTATAGTTCATATTAAAGAAGTGTTTCAGCGCAGTAACCAAGGAAAAGCAGTATCTGATGTTCCAGAAGCGCCTCCTGCTGTCAGAGAGTGAATCTGCATCTCATTCAGAGCTTCTGCTGTTTGTTTCGTTCAGGCATGTAGTATAATTTCACAAAGCTAGTAAGAACATTCTGTTTTTGTTTCAAATTGGGTTATTATTAAATCAAATTATGTATATGAAATTATATAACTAAATTATATGAAGTTATATAAATTATATGTATATGAATTATATAACTAATTAAATAACTAATTACAGATGTATGTTAAATAAAGATGTCAGTCTTTATTTTTCTTCTTTTTAGGAAACAAATCAAAGAAAAAAAATAAACAAATTCTACTGTTCCTAATATTCTGTATGTTGTTCAAAAACAAAATGCGGAATTTTTTTTTTTTTTTGTGCCCGGTCATTTAAAAATAACACATTTTAGAGCTGTAACGACAATACCGTGAAACCGTGACATTTTTGCTTAAGGTTATCATACGTCAAAATCTCATACCGGCCCATGCCTACTCTCACACACAAAAAAAAATGAACTGAACTGACTCAATCTGGTTTGTGAAGCGAGACAAGACACAACAAAAGTGAGAAGAGGATGATTGAGAAAGTGTTACCTGCAGTTTAACAGCTTAGTCAACAGAGCCAATACATACACACAGAGAGGAACAGGAACACTGCTTAAACCCATCCGGACAGGGAATCAATATACAATCAGGGCTCCACTGATAGTCAATCCTGTGTGCCATGCGGCAGCGTCGATGTGAGTGGGGAACGTTGGGCTGGGAGCCAGACCACAGTACACAACGCTGGGGCAGAATGCAGAAAGCAGAGCCAAGGTGACTGTATCCTGTCTCATCACCCATAATGCTTAAACTGAAAGAGATGTATGTATGCATTACATCGCAGGCAAATAAAATACAGCATACTGGGTTATACGCCAATGCAGGCACTTAAAAGTCAACTAAATTGGAATTAAAACCTAAAGGGAAACAGGATGTACAGGGTAAAACAGAAGCCTAGAAGTCTGTGAATTCAGTTGTTTATTTGCAGTTAGTTCTCCCATGACTGAAGTCTTTTTACCATCTCATTTAAAGGGA